TTGGGAGCCATCTGTAGAGAAGAATTTTATGTGCGTGGAGTTGTGTGTAGGGCTGGACTGGAGACGAGGGGTGCCGTGTTACTCATGGGATTGCATTATGCCCTGACTGTAGGAAAGGTTAGAGGCAACTTTGCAAGTAATGAGGGCAGGAACATAGAAACTTGATTCTGAAGATAAAAAACAGAAGTGGATATACTTGTGAGGCAACATACAATCTCAGAACTTCCTGAGGTCAAAAAGGGAAATGGTTCACTACCTAGTATATTGTTATTATTCTTAATTTATTTATTTTTGGAACAAGGTCTTGCCATGTGGCTCAGGTTCACCTTGAATTCAGTGTAGGCCAGGCTGGACTTGAATTCACAGTGATCCCCCCGCCTCAGCCTCCTGAGTGCTGGGATTATAGTGCTGGATTATATGTACCACACCTGGCTCCTGGTACATTATTTAAAAAGGAAAAATTATTTTAGTTCTTCTAGGCAGTCAGGTTTTCCTGGTCTGAGTCCTCACTGAAACATGTCAGCTTGCTGTTCCATAGAAAAGCGGTTTTTAGTTTTCCTTCTACCGCTGTCCTGTGTGTAGTGAGCTCCACGGTGAAGGTCGCAGCGGTGACACAGATCAGCCATTGCTGGCAGCAGCTGTGCCGAGGCCCTCCAGTTGCATCGTTCATCGGGGCCTGTGGGCAGTGCCCTGAGGAATGTCCCTGGTAGCACCCTGTCCTGGAGTCCGAGCAGGTGGCGAGAGACGGCTGATGGGCTGCAGGGCGACAGCTGAGCTGAGAAAGGTAGTGCGTAGGTGAGGTGGAGGACTGAGGAGGTGAGCACAGCTTGCAGAAGGGCGGAAACACCCAATTCTGCATTATAGTATTTTGCAGTACCAAGGATCAATCCAGGAATGTTACACCACAGCTATATCCCTAGTCCGTTTTATCTTCTGTCTTGAGATTTTTGCTAAGTTTTCTGCCTCAAACTTGAGATCCTCGTGTCTCAGCCTCTTGAGTAGCTTGGATTTGTGTATATTATTTTTGTTATAAAAGTAACATGTACCTGAAAGTATTCAACTATATACATGCACAGTTATAAAAAGACACGCCCTATTTCCTTACACATCCTGAAGAGGACAGCACTCTTCCAGTGTGCACAAAGTCTCGGCCCTCGAGGGTACTGCAGGGACAAGCGTCCTGTGCTGCCAGACTGACTTGAGTTTGACTCCTGGCGCCTTCCCGCCCCACTCCTTTGTGTCTTCAGTGAACACTTCTTTGGCTGTTTCTCGGTGCCCTCCAGTGCTCTAGGTGGTGCAGAGGTAACGTCAGTCCTCAGGGAGTTTCCAGTCCACCGAGTGGGGACGATGGGTAGGGCCGAACCCCGAGTGATGACAAAGACTGGGGTGCAGGGAAGGGTGCTGAGATCTTAGGTGGGAGCCCCCCAGGGCCCAGGTTGGATTCCTGGGAGGAGGAAGGCGAACAGTATCTGCTCAGCAGCGCTTGACAATGGCGGTGGTGATGGTTATTGGCCTTTGGTCAAACTTCAGTTACTGGGTAAACCTGAAGAATAAACTTGGGGACATTTGCACATTTTAACAGTTGAATAGAGAAATAGAATCTGGGCGGGAAAGTTAGGATGTGTGTGGGGTGCAGAGTGAGGCTGCAGAACCCGGATGCAGGGAGCCTGCAGGGAGGGCAGAGCCCCAGGCCTGGAGAGGAAGGCTGCTGCAGAGGTGAGCTGGCAATGCCTTCGGGGGCCGAGGGCCCACTCCTCCTGCCACTCGGGGCCCCTCCTCCCCTGCCTCTGCCCCTTTGCTGAACCCTCCCAGCCCGGGTACTGTGAACCTCTCCTTCACTTTAGCCCTAGCCCTGCCCAGCCCGTCCTAGCACAGACTGTTCTTTGGAAATTCAGTGTTGAGACACCGCTTCTTGCAACTGGCACCAGTCTCTGTGCAGTCAGGGCTGGAACAAGGCGCTGGGCAGAGTCCCCACCCTGGGCCCAGGGCAAGATCAAGGTTGGTCCATCCCCAGGGTCAGGGAGCTGGACTTCAGATCTGTGTCTCTGTGGAAGGGAGGAGCTGTCTGAGCTCAGGGGTTCTCTGGGGCCTCAGCTTCGTCCCACCAAAATAGCCAAGCCCCTTTCAGAGTGTGTCCAGAGACCCCTCTGCCACTGTGCTCCCGAATTCCCTGGCTTTCACACTCCAAGAGGCCCCGAAGTCCGGCTCTGCGCTTGGCTGTTCTGTTATCGGGAATAATAAAAATAAAAGCCAGCACATACTGAGCGTGTGGTCAGCGCAGGTGCTGTGCTGGGGACTTTCTCCTCAGCGCCTGTATCCTTGACGGTAACTCTCTGGGATGCAGGGGAGGGCGGCGTGAACCGGGAGCTGCTGGCAGGGCGGTGGGTTTTCTCCCTCACTTTCCTCTGGGGTCTCCAGCCCGGCCGCCCCGTCCTGCTCAGCACGGCCTACTCTTCCACCAGTGCCTTTGCTCACCAGCTGCTCAGCCTCCCTAACGTGAAAATATTTCCCTCTTACTCCCCCAGCAGGAAGCTCATGATTATTTCACCTGCCTTTGGGGTCCTGGAGGAGCCCTAAAGGTCACCCCTGCTCCCCAGTGGCCAGAGACCGCTGGCAGGATTCTGTCCTGGGCTGTTTCTTTCCGCCCATCCCTGTACCTGAGTGGGGCTCATCCCAGGACACACTGTCATATGAGGCCATGCCCGGGACTCTGCCTTCTGGGTCTGCACTCAGAAATCCCTCTGGACTGCCACCCATCCTGCTGGGCTCCGGTCAGAGGCAGCGCTGCCCTACCCCTACCGCATCGCAGTTAGCAGCCGCCGGGTCCCTGAGTCCCTTTGCTAAAGTCCCATCCAAGTGGCTCCCTCGCCTGTTTGAACCTCATGTCTCACCAGCACCAAACAACAGCCTCCTTCCTCGCCGTGCTCCCTGCCTCGGGGCCACGCACCTCAGAGGCACCTCGCTCACCAAAGCGAGGCTCAGGCACCCCAGGTCTGACCTCACCTCTTACCCAGGGCTCTGCAGAGCCCCGTAGTCTGTAGTCACAGGGCTTCAGTATCTCCATCATGGGCCCCATCAGTAAAGTGCTTTTGAGTGTGCTCCCCAGTGCATATTCACCAGCCTCTCACCTCCTGGGACTCACACCCTGGAGGCTGTGGAGTTCTGACCTTCGAGGCCCAGAGGATGGTATGGATTCCTTAAACTGTTGCTTCTGAGCTAGAGCATGAGAGGAATTGCGCTCTCGGGTCACTTGCTCTGGGAGGAGCCAGCAGCCTGCGGAGAGGCCCACACAAGGAGGATTGAGGCACTTGCCTGGCATGTGACCTATCACCTCGGGAGCTGACCTCCTAGCCCAGTGAAGTCTTCAGATGGATGCAGCACTGATTGCCATCTTGGCAAAAGACTTGAAGCCAGAAGCAATTAGCTAAACCCTCCCCTGAGAAACTCAGATGGGCCGAGTGACTGCAAGATCCTGGGTTCCGTCTCCAGCACCAAAACAAACAACCAAACAAAAACCCAGTGAGACTGATAAAAGTTCATTAAGTTGTTAAGATTTGGGGTAATTATTTTGTAACAATGCACTAAAACACATAACTGTACAAATTTATTAATTACACTAGAATACATATCTTATAAGATAGAACTCAAAGGAAGAGTGATTTAAACACACACACACACACACACACACACACACACACACACACACTTAGCATTCCGTCATCAACGAGTTTGAGGAATGTGGTTATTTGACTGCAAAATGTTCCAGTGCAACAAGCGAACAGAAAAATGCAGATACAAATAGCTTTCTGCATTTTCAAAAGCTAAGTACCCCGTGTAACGGGCGTCCAGACCAGGAAGCTGGGTGTCCCCTGCCCCCAGGCCTCCCTCGGGTTTTCTGGGAGTCACTGCCGCTGTGGGGGTCAGCACTATTCTGACCAAACCAGTGTAGGGTCATTTGCCTGGATAAACAAGATTGTAAGTGTTAAATTAACAGCCCAACTGTCACCAAAATCACTGGCCATAAGCCCAGTGCATGCAAAGGACACGAGGGTTTTCAGGACACAGATACACAAGGGCACACACAAAGCTGTCACATTTTATGCAAGCGGCGTGTCCCTGAATATCTCATAGAATCTGGAACCCTCACAATTCATCTGGTTTTCTCCTTGAAATATCTGTAAAGTAGGATTTGGATGACTTCATATGTCGAGCCTAAAACAAGACTTGTTAGCATCTTTAATACTGTCCAATTTCCAAGTTGATTTGAACTCAGACGACCCTCTCTGCCCCCAGGGGCTGTGCGGGATGATTTTAGCACTGGTTTGTGGCTGGGATGGGACTTCAGTTCTCAGTGTGGCTCTGGAGGCAGCCCACATGTCAGCCCTCCCCCTGCTCCTTCCTTGCAGTGTGACCCTGGCAAGCTCTTGATTTTTCAGGGCCTCACCTTTCTCATCTGCAAAGTGGGTTGTGCTCTGGGGTTGATAAGAGAATTGAATGACTGAAAACAGGAAGCTGCAGAGGTGTGTGGGGTCACTGCCCCCCCGAGGCTCCCCATCAGCTCCCACATCACCCCTGTGTGGCCCGGAGATCTTTGGACTTCCTAGGAGAATAAGTTAGGGCAGTGCCGGGGAGCCCGCGGCTGAGTCCACAGGAAGTGTGGTCTGTCCTTTGGAAGCCAGGGTCACAGCCCCAGATTGGGTAAGAGCAGGGAACCTGTCCATCTCTCTGATCCTAGTCAGGAATATCTGGAGACACCAGGGAAATTGCCCTGGCAGGAAGTGGAGGGGCAGGGGCAGAGGGACACAACAAACTGCCTCACCCCCTGCCCAGCCTGGCTTCCCCTCCCAAATCATGCAATGAGGAGCTGAGAGGCCGTGGTGCGTGTGGGTACAGACCTGGAGGGTCTCCTCCCCGGGGAGAAGAGCAGAGGCAACCCATCCCCCATTCCCACCCCCACACCCCCCTAGTTCCAAATCCATGTCCTCCTCTGTTTACTGTCCAAAGTCCCAGGCACTGGAGATGCCAGGTTTGGTGTGCTCAGACACCCGGACACACAGATCCCAGGGCCCTCGTATGGACCCTGCCCCTCCCTTCCATTGTCCAGGGCTGTCCACTCCACTTCTCCAGGCTTCAGGCCCTTCCTTAGCCTGGGATCTGCACGGCACTGAGGAACCTGGGAGTCAGATTTTGAGACCTTCAGTAAGTAAATCAGGAAAGAAGGTGTGGGGGAAACCGAGGGAGGGGTGGCGGGAGCCGTGTGTGCATGTGTGTGTGTGTGCGCGCGTGTGCGTGTGTATGCGCGCGTGTGAGATGGGAAATGGCGGAGGACAGATTTTGGAGGGATGGAGGAAAGCAGAAAGGAATCACCTCTGGATGTAGAAGGGGTCGGACCCCATCCCCACCCTGATTCCCCTCGTCCCTTTTCCAGCACCAGCCCGATAATGACGAAGGAATACCAAGATCTCCAGCACCTGGACAATGAGGAGAAGGACCACCACCAGCTCCGAAGAGGTGAGGGGCTCCGTCTGGTGACCTTGGTCCCCCGTGTCTGCTCCTGAGCATAGCCGGGGCCTCCAGAGCCTCACGGAAGCTAGAGAAGTGCTGTGCCCGCAGCGGCACTGCCAGCCCTGGCTCCTACTGTTCCACGATGCCTGCCTCATCCATACCGCCAACAGTGTGGTTGAGTTCCCCTGTTAGGGTGGGCTCAAGGTTTGGGGTTGGAGTCCCTTTGGTGGTGACAGATGCTTCTCAGGACCCCAGGGAAGGGGACTGGACTCAACTGGAGGCTTCTGAAGTTAGGCCCCTCTGCCTGGCCCTCTCTGCGTGTGTCATGTGTGTGGGGTGGAATGGGTTGAGTTTGTGCTATGGGTGCTTTGTCCTATGTGATGCATTATGTGCGGGCTGTGTGTGTGTGTGTGGCATCATATGGTCCTGGATTCCGCATGGTTAAAGCTTGACGAAACCCTCCAGCAGGCTGAGGGTCTCTGCTCTGAGGAGGATTCAAACTCCCACATCCAAAACAGGCCCGCTGTGCTCTCAAGCAGGGACTGTTGCTTAGGCGTGGCTCTTTGGGGCTTTGGCTGGGGCAAGAGGGTCAGGAAGGAGAAAAGCCCCCCGGCCCAGCTCGCAGAGATGGGGCCGAATGTTGTCCTCTTTGCCCTGGGTGGAGGGACTTTCTCTCTCTGTGCACAGCCTGAGACAGGTGGGATTCATGTAGTCGAAGAAACCCTTTCCCCCAACGTTCATCAAGGGCAAGCCAGCTAAGCTACTCCCCGGGAGGTGGCGCTGAAGGGTGACACAGTCATGCCACTAGGTGTCAGCAAAAACTTGGTCTGGGTGTTGCTAGAGAAGGTCAAAGCTTTGTGCCCCCTGGTGCCTCTTCTTTCTCTGCTTCCAGCGGCCTCTGCCCTCTGCCGAGGTCTCCTAGGCTATGTACGCAGGGTTCCTCTTAACCTGCTCTCCTTCTTGGGCCCGGACGCTGGGCCGGGCGGGCCCGTGTCCCTGAGCCTCACTCTCTTGCAGGGCCGCCTCCTCCCAGGCCGCTGTGCCAGCGGCTCTGCTCCGGGCCCTGCCTGCTGCTGCTCTCCCTGAGCCTCAGCGCCGCGCTGCTGGTGGTCATCTGTGTGATTGGATCCCAAAGTGGGTGTCCAGAAAGGGGATCAGTCCTGGGGTGTGGGGTGTCCGCGGAGGATGGCAGTGATGACAGTCTCCCCGTTTGTCCTGCTCACGCCTCTCCTGTGCAGACTCTCAGCTGCAGAAGGAGCTGCAGGCCCTGAAAGAGACCATCCACAACTTCACGGGGAGCACGGAGGCTGAGGTCAAGGCCCTGAGCAGCCAGGGTGAGGGGCTGGCCAGGCTGGGGCTGGGCTGGGGCGGGGTGGGGGATGTCAGGGTGCTGAGCGTTCTCTCATAGGGGGCAGCGTGGGAAAAAAGATGAAGCTACTCGAGTCCCAGCTAGAAAAACAGCAGCAGGACCTGCGTGAAGGTCAGAGCGGGGCCCCGTGTCAGTGCATGCGTGTGTGCGTGCGTGTGTGTGTGTGTGTGCGTGTGTGTGCGTGTGCGTGTGTGTGTGTGTGCTGGACACACGTGTGTGCAGCCCGGAGGGGACCTCTCAGGCCAAATCGAGCCCTCTTGGTGGGGACATCCATAACTGGTTTTCTCCAAGTGACAGCACTGGCCGCCATGCCCTACTGACTTCTCTGTCCGTCCTGCTCCTGTCCCCCTCTGGCTTCTGCGTCCCCAGATCACTCCAACCTGCTGTTCCACGTGAAGCAGTTTGTGTCCAGCCTCCGAAGCTTGAGCTGTCAGATGGCCGTCCTGCAGGGCAATGGTGAGGCGGTGCCCAGTCCTGCTTTATACCCCGCACCCCCAAGACAGGGTCTCATCCCTTTCTCCTTCCCTGCCCCTCAGGCTCGGAGACCCTCTGCTGCCCCGTTAACTGGGTGGAGTTCCACGGCAGCTGCTACTGGTTCTCCAAGTCGGGGAAGCCCTGGCCGGAAGCTGAGAAGTACTGCCAGCTGGAGAACGCCCACCTGGTGGTGGTCACCTCCTGGGAGGAGCAGGTAACCCCCGGCAGGCTCTTCTGGAAGGCTGGCTGGTCCAAGGGAGAGGTCAGCAGCTCCCTCTTCTCTCCCCAGAGGTTTGTCCAGCACCACACGGGCCCTGTGCAGACCTGGATGGGCCTCACTGACCAAGATGGACCCTGGAAGTGGGTGGACGGGACTGACTATGAGACAGGCTTCAAGTGAGTGTGTGCGCCTGTGCCTGTGTCCGGCACTGTCCCCTCCCAGGGTGTGGCCAGGGCTGCAGGGGCTCCTGACGTGCGGCTGTCTCCTCTGGGCAGGAACTGGAGACCACTGCAGCCGGATGACTGGTATGGCCACGGGCTGGGAGGGGGCGAAGACTGCGCCCACTTCACCCCCGACGGCCGCTGGAATGACGACGTGTGCCAGCGGCCCTACCGCTGGGTGTGTGAGACCGAGCTGAACACGACCAGCACGCAGCCTCCTCCCGCCTGATTTATTTGCCGCCGCCCTGAGCGACTGAGGCCTGGCACTGGGCTCCTCCTCTCCGGGGGTCTCTGCATGCTGGGAGATTGTATCTACGGCTTTAAGGGGAGCGAGAAGAAGGGGGCTGAGACGTGTGCGATGCTTGAGGTTTGGAGGGGAGGGGAGGGAACCATGGACTGGACACTCTGCAGTTTATTACTGTCAGCTTTTTTTTAAAGTAAAAGAAAGAGAAATGTATTTCAGCATCCTCTGTGCTGTGTGCTTTCTGGGCTTACCCGTTAGTGTTTTTCATATTTTTGCTTCTAACCTCTGTCTCAGATGTCTCTTGGGCATATAGTAATTAGATTGTATGTGTTACTCTCTCTGGAATTTTTTTGTCTTTTAACAAGATAACTTAGTGTCTTCACTTAATATAATTAGCAATCAGGGGAGGGGTGTCATAGGGATTGAAGCTACATTCCCAGCCTCTCCTCTTTTTTTTTTTTCTTGAGACAGGGTCTCACTGTGTAGTTTAGGCTGGACTTGGAACTTGCTGTATAGCCCAGGCTGGCTCAAACTCACAGTGACCCTCCTGTCTCAGCCTCCATTATGGAGCACAGTCTGGACTTGAACTCACCAAGCCAGGAAGTCCTCTCGCTTAGCCTCCTGAGTGCAGGCAGTACAGACACGCCTGGCTTGTGACTGTAAGTCTGAATCCAGCCTGGGCACCTTATTCAGACATTGTTTAACAAAGGGAGTGGCATTGCAGCTGAGTGGAGGAGCACAGTGTGAGTGGTAGAACACTTGCTTAGCAAGCGTGAAGGCCTGGGTTTATTTCCCTCACACCCAAAAAGAAGCAAGCAAACAGAAGAAAAAAGAGAAAAGAATGAATGCACGCTATAACCCACGCGATCTTCCTTTTGGAGGAAACCTACGGCCTATGTCACATGGGAAGCGTCCCTGACGGGTTACGACCCAGGACTAACACAGCGGGCTGAGAAACAGATCCACTAGAGACAGCGTCAGAGTAAGGAGGTGCTGTTGCCTTTTGGAGATTCGGAGGAAGAAATAAGATTATAAATTTTAGAAAGAAAGAGGTCAGTTTTTAAAGATCTGTGGACACATGCACCTTGCATTGCATTGGGCTGATACATCTCTGCCTGTGCAAAGGGGACCTTGAGCTTGAGGGGGACCTTGAGGGGAACTCAGGGACCTTGAGCTTGAATCTGATTAGGTCTCCAGCAACAGCTGCCGACTTATGGGACATGCAGTGGGAGGGAAATATTCACACAGTCATGCACTCAGTCAGTTCCGGGAGGCAGAAGATTCTACACAGGCATTTTTTGATTTCTTAAAAAAATGGCAAATGAAAAAGAGCGAGGCGGAATTGTTATGGGTTAAAAGAGTCTTGGGGGACACAGCAGCGACTCGGACTTTGGATACCGACTTAAACAAACCAAGGACAAAGAATCATGGGACAGTAGGTAAATTCAAATAATAACTGGAGAAGGAGTTTCCGTGAATTATTTTTGGCACAATAATACTTAAGTGAAAAAGAGTCTGCAGCCTAGAGACACAGGCTGAAATATTTACAAGTGAATAATCTGTGTGGGTTTTGATCTGAGATAATTCAGCAGGTTTGGTGGGGGAAACAGGAGTGAGGTAAACAGGACCCGTCACGTGTCGGGAGCTGCTGCGGTGGGGGATAGTTAGAGACGTGTGTTACAGCACTCTCTTAAACTCTGGACATGTTTTATTTACTACAGCCGAATCGGGGACAGTAGATTCTAACGATGTGACAACCAGACTGCGGGAGATGATACATATTTTACAAATGTGATGTGGAAAAATAATATTTTGCCTCTACAGACAAGATAAACCTGACAACGAAAATTCGAAATAAGCAATAGGCTTGGATGAAATATTTGCAGCATTTATATAACAAGTAATTAATATCCAGAAAATGAAATAAAACTTCTACAAGACAGCAAGGAAAAAACTTGATCCAACGAAGAAATGGGCCACGGAAATAGTAGTTAACATTTGTCATGTCTATTTTGGGGACCCCTTCCTTAGCCTAGGCACCACACCTTCTTTTGCCTCCTTGATGCAGGACCTTGTGCTTAACAGGCAGGCTCTTTGCCACTGAGCTAAATCCCCGATGCCATTTTTATGATCTTTAAGAACTTAAGTAAAAGATGGAAGCCTCAAAGAAATGTGTACCGTACGAGGCCCTCTGTGTAGCCACCCCCAAATAATTCCATGATTGCTATAAATGTATGTTCCTTGATTACCATGGGATTGCTACATCCTGATAAACCCACAGTAAGTCGGAGATCCGTGGTGCTGAAGACGCACGTGTGATACGCCCCCCGAGCTGCAGAGCAGCACAGCTTGTGGCCACACTGTGCTGTCCTTCAGCTCACATGACTCTGCTGCTGGGCTGCTGTCCAGCGCTGTGGGAGAGGCCTGACCACACAGCGCATCACTAGCATGGAAAAGGCCCAAAGCAAAATTCAAGGTATGGTTTCTGTTGAATGCACATTGCTTTCACACCAGCATAAAGTATACAATCCACAGTGGAAGCACCGTGAGTCCGGGGCATCTGCATCCTGAACCCAGGCCAGTGGCTGCCGCGTCTCTCTTGGGTGCTCACAACCCTCCCCCCGGACTCTCCCTCTCTCACGGGTTTACCCTTCAGAAAACCCTTGCTTGACACCTTGGTTCTTCTGCTCTGTCTTTACTGCTTGAAATAAATTGTGCTTTGGAGAACAAGGTCCAGGGCTGCGACCTGGATTTGGGGTGAGGCCGACCAGGGAGAGCTCCAGAGCCATGGAAGAGCCGCCAGCTTCTCAGAGACATGCAAGAGAGGGATACAGTGTGCGTGGGTGAGATGTTTCTTGCCACCAAGGGAACCAACTGGTTCAAATGATTCTCCTCTAAAATTCAGTTGCCTCATAATGAGTCAGAATCTCATAATCAGCCTGTCTGAGTGTGAGCGTCTTCCAAGAGGAATGTCTGAGAGAGAAATTTTGGGAGTGGTTTTTTTGGGGAGCAGATCCCACAAAGCAGGCGTGAAGGAGGAGAGGGAGATGGGAAGGAGGGATGTCCAGTAGGGAGCTGATATCCAGGTTGCTGCCTGTGTTGCTGACTTAAGTGACGGGTGATGGGGATTTACCCCTAGCCCCGGCTCCCCGTGCATGTTAACGCCATCACAGCCCCAGCTCCTACTCATGCTGCAGAAGCCCCGGGGCAGAACATGCAGCTCCAGCTGGCAGTGGGACGTCATCAGCACAAGGAGCTGTTTGAGCTGGCGTAGGGCTGCTCACCGCTGTTGTGGCTGAAATCAGGGGTCCAGGTCATGTGATGTGGGGCACCAGAGGAGTCCACCTGGGTCCCTTTACCAAAGTTTAGTAAGTACAATGAGAATGACCACTAGCAACTCAAATTGAAATGCCAATAATGGACACAAGAGATGTGCAATTGAGTGAATAATCATAAAACTCTAATGGGGTCATAAAAATGCTGTTTACTGCTAACTGACACTTGGCTTTCGAGCCTCAGTATTTTGATGAATCAGTTTTCTCTAATCAATCTACAAATTCAAGACCATTCAAATAAAAAAATTTTTTTTAGACAGAGTCTTATTATGTAGTTCAGCCTGGCTTTGATCTCTTGGCAATCCTTCTGCCTCAGCCTCTAAAGTACTAGAATTACAAGCATGTACCACCGCGCCCGGCTCAAATCAAAATTCTTATGCAGTGTCTTTTTTTTTTTTGAATTTGACAAAATGAGTTTAAATTTATCTGGAAGAATAAACATGTGAGAAGAGCCGGCAGAAAAATTTAGAGAACAGCAGCTAGGAGACTCGTCTCACCAGACGTTAAAAATACATTATAAAGCTACTGAATCAAAGGACACTCGCCCAGTCATAGGAACGCAAAGATGAGTTAATGACACGGAGCAGACTGCAGAGGTGGATCCAGGGAAACGGCGAGGGCGGCTCTGGTTGTAACTGGAATCTAAGGGGCCGTCTTAAGCAAAGACGTTTTTCAGAAAGATAGTGAATAAGGGATTTAGAAATTTCTCTTCAGGCCAGGGATTTAGCTCAGTGGCCCAGGCCTGCTTGGCAAGCACCAGGTTGTGAGTTCAATCTCCGGTACAAAAAAGAAAAAAATTTCTTTTTGTGTCTGAGCTCTATTTCCCTCATAGTGTTGGCTTCGTTCTTTTTTCTTATCATGGATTTTCCTCTCTCATCTTCATATTTTGCACTTATAAGCTTTATATATAGCTCACAAATTCTTTCTCCTTTCTGTCTCCTTCCGTTTCTCTAAACACTGGTTCTGTCTGGGCCGACTAACGCTGTCCTGATGAGCCCGAGGGTCCACCGTGGATGTGGCCATGACTGCTGGAAAGCAGGGTGAGAGCGCACAAATCTGTCGAGTTGATGGCTGAGGGTCGGAGGTGTGGATGCCCAAACCACAAAAGGGATGTTGTTACCTCCAAGTATCTGTAGCAGTCTGGCAGATAACCGAGGAGGAGCTTCACGTTAGAGGATGAAGACTCAGTCGCTGGTGGTGGGACAGTTGCCATCTGGTCGAATCCAGTGATTTGATTTTTATTTTTTACAGTGATAATTATTTCTGACACGCTGTCTCTCTTAATTCTGAATGTCTGGAATGATATCTTCAAAAACTCTGGTGCAAAGGTTATATTTCATACTCTCTGGATAGTGAGATCCATAGTAGAATTGATACAAAGGAGGTGAAACCTTTTCTGTGAAATAAGAAAACATCCCCTAGTAATACCTGACCGCCTGTAACCGATTTGCTAAGTCTGATCATTGAATGATGTATTCGATCAGCTGCTTCCCTAAAACCTTTTCCTCCAATACAATAACACATACTGTTAGCACACTGCATCCTATATTCAGGTTTCTGAATTACAGTCCTTATGCTGCCATTCTGACAGGATAATAACAACAGGTATAAATAGCTCTGTTTCTATAATGTAACAAACTAAAAAAGAAAGCGAAAACCAAGATACCAAGATATTTTACACTTAAAGTCAAATGCACTTAGTTCTTGTCTATGTATATAATAACAAGGTATCTATGCATGTGCAATTTCTTTTCCAAAACTACATGTAGGGACAGCCTTCTCGAGCCACTCATTTTCTTTCTTTCTTTTTTTTTTTGGTCTTTTTGTTTTTCATTGGTACCAGGGATCAAACTCACAACCGCCTGCTTACAAGGCAGGGGCTT